TAAAGAAGATGTGGTTTTTCTATAAAATGGAATACTACTCAGCCATAAAGAATAAGAAATTAGAGTTATTCATAGGAAAATGGATACATATTGAGGATATATACTCCTAAGTGAAATAAATAAGTCTCACATGTGTAAATACTGAATAGCTTCTCCCGTGTGAAAAACTATAATGGTACATAAGATCCTAACAATATAATTGACAATGTGAAATAGGAAGAAAAAGGCTAAAGGTGTAGGGGAAGTGGGAAGGGTAGGGGAAAGGTAATAAGGGAAAAGAAAAAAATGAGAAAAAAGATCCATCATGTAAAGGTACAAGATCCCAATGATGTAACTGTACTGTATATCTAACAGGTACCAATAAACTCAGTGGGGAAAGTAAAAATGAAAAAAAAATTGTCAAAAAGAAAAAGTATTCAGTAGGAATCACTTTCCTTCCCATGTTCTTCAGTAAAAGCTGATGATGGAAAACTTCGCTTTCTGCCCTTCTTCAAACAATAGAATCATCTGGCCATAGAGAGTCTCAGTTAACTCAACAGCTCCGGTTTTCTGCCAGGCTGAAGAGAATGGGTTGGGTGGCTGACGTTGTTACTGCCGCTGCTGCCCTTGGCATTGTGATTCTTATAGCTGGCACTTTTGGGATTTTGTTGTTGTTGAGACTATGTCATCCACAAGGCTTACCAAAGCAATACATTTGATTTGAGCTCTGAACTGTGAGAATGCTTTGTTCTTTCAGATTACTGTTGGTTCATCTCACAGCTGGCTTACTAAAGTAATAAGGTAAGCTTTTAGTACAAACTTTTAGTCCCATTGAAATTCACATAAAGATTTTTCAGGCAGATTTCATCTTTATTTTTATTATAGTCTAGTACTATAGTATAAATCAAAGAGCACCGGCACCTGATTTAAACGAAAGGGTATAAGCACTGCAGTTGGAAGTTATCAAAGTGTTGTAAAAATGTTTCTCTTCGAATTACATTATTTCCAAACAGATCCTGATTCCAGATTTTAAAGTTATGACATAAGAAAGTAAAGGTAAAGGCTAAATAGTCTAAGGATTATCTTAAAATCTGCGTTTTGCTTATTGACTCCGATAGATCCCGATAGATCGTGCTCTGTTGGCTCCTCTATGTCACAGAAGCTGCAGGGATCGGGTGACGAAATCCAAGCAGTCCTCTCTGCCTCTTGGATTCACTCAAAAATCAGGGCTGGGCTCAGAGGACGTTTTGCATTTCGCAACGGGAGACCCCAGACTTTAAAACAAACTCCAAGAGAAATAATTTCCCTCCTTTGCCTCAGTCCTGAGTGTCAGATAAAATGGTAGAAATCGGCTGAAGAGTTTGCGCTCCCAATCTCGGAGTCCAGCGGGAAACCAGGTTAACTCGACTCTGGTTTTCTGCAAGTTACCTTGAAAGACGACGAGTGACTTGGTCGGAATTAGTTCATCTCTATTCCTCTAACTTTGGCGGAGCGCCTATTAGTGTGCCTAGCGTGCTGCTAATTACCCAAGAAAATAACTTTTTTTTAACCTTTGGGCTTCCGCACAGCTCCGGGCACTTCCTACAACCTCAGAGTGGCCTGCGATGTAATCTCCTCCTTCCCTTTCTGGACAGACTGAACTTTAAGGTGTGAAATTGCTCGCGGCTACTCGCGCGCCCTCTGGGTGTGGAATCCAGTTAGCGCCCACGGCACCAGCCTCTGCTTTGTAGCTGCCTAAAATTTCGTATTGAGGAATTGGTGTCTGTTCTAAGGTCAGACACAGTGCAGCCAAGAACAGAGTCCCGCGCCAGCAAGGTGACATGGCCACGAAATCTGCTTCTAGAGTGGTCGTTTCCTGACCATTTTGCGGTCACCATTGCAAGGGTAAAAGCCGTGAGTTCTTAGGAAAATATACCTCTCGAGGTCACACATACTTACGAACGATTTCGGGAAAGTCTCACGTTAGAAATCTGTGGGCTGAAAGGGGAAGTCATTTCCGCAGAAGTATTTGACACCTGAGGGCAAATGGATTTCTACAGTTGCCCCAAGCGGCAGGAGCCCTTGTTCTGCGCGCCCCGTAGTGGCCGCAGCTCTGCCTTCGCCAACTCATCACGCAGTCTCGCAGGAAAACCCAGGCCAGGGCTCTGAGGTAAACGGCTGAAGGCCCAAAAACCCCGCCTGGGTCCTGGAAATCCGCAATCCTCATCCCGGTCCCGCGCCGCTAGTATTTCCAGGGGCTGTGGCGGTTGCGCGCCGGCACCCCCGGGTGAGCTCTTCCAGCCCAGCTTCCCGCCGGCGCGCTCTGCAGAGAGGGAATCTCAGACCTCGAGTTTGACTCCCTTGCGGTGGTGCTTCTCAGAAGTTAAGAAGGAAACTCACCCTGAGGGCGTTTTAGAAGCTTGGCTTCCGGCTGTCTCCCTTAACACGGAAGCCACCGACCTACCAGGGAGGACACAGGCGTCCTACGAAACGCCCGAGGACCCAGGGAAACCTCGAGCTCCGTGGCTCCGGCCACTCAAGCACCTTTGGGGGACAATTTTGGCTTTGCCTAGGGGAAACACGAAACCTGGGTCCTCGCAGACGGTCCTTGGTCCCCAGGTACTGCTGCGGCCGCCGCCGCTGCGCTCGCAGCGCTGTGGTGACTGGACCGGCTGCTGCGGACCGCGCTCTGCGCGCTCAGACCGGGGATCCCGGGAAGCAGAGAAGCTGCGCAGCTCCAGTCCTAGCTGCAGCGGGCAGCAAATGCACGGTCCGGACCGCGGTCCTTTGCTTGCTGAAAGCTGAACGCTCAGGCATAGCGGTCTCCAAAGCTGTGGGCTGTGAGCAGGGACACAAAGTGCGAAAACGGGTATAGTGCTTCGCCTGGTCTTGGGAGAGTGAGATTCAGAGACCTCTATCCCGGCGGGGTGTGGAGCGACTGCAGGGACACGCAGGCGGCTCGGGACGCGTCAGCGTGAATCTCTAAGGACGCCTGTGAGCCAGCGTCCGAGCGTCTGGGCTGCCAGGAGCGGACACGTTTGGAGGCAGTGAGGGTCTGTGTGTGGATGAGGCTGACTGGACCTGAGCGAGCTTCAGGACCAACGAGACCCCGCAGCACTGCCAAGGTGCCTGCTCTTAGTCCGGGACCTAAGTGCAGAATCAAATGCCACTGGGACATCTTGGCAAACAGCAGCAGGAAGCAGAGGGGCAGCTGTGCAAATGGCTCCCTCAGGCTGACTAATGAGAGGTGATTAATGGTGAAGGAAGGAGGGTAACTAGAGGTCCAGATGGAGGCTTTGGAAACTGCTTTCCCTTGCACCCTACTCCTCAGGCCCAGCTGAGCCTCAGACCCCTCCACACACATAAGGGGTCGGGATGGCACCCTGGGTCCGCCCAAAGTGGCAGTCCCTCGAACAGGGACTGGGGAAGTATCATAGAGGTCTTTCGGTGGAACAAGGAGTTCATCCCAGGAAACTTCCGGATCTCTGCCCAGTGGGTCCCTGCACAGGGGCACCTCTCAGAACATTCCTCAAGATGGAACCGGGGTCCTTGTTTCAAACATAAAGGCGTCGAGGCTCTACGACACTGCTGCCCTTCAGCACAGATCCCGGAATGGACCAACTGGAATCGAACTCACATCTAAGAAAATTCCTGTCTCCAGCTGCCTCTCCTGCTTCTCGGGAGCCTGGCCCCTCTGTGGGTGACACCAGCTGCTGGAGTCGGACACTCGGTGGCCGAGGAACCCAGCCGCGACGCTAACCCTCCAAACTCCACCTGGGCAAGAGTCTGGGGTCAGACGGGGGGGGGGGGGGGCTGCAGCCCTGGATCTGCCAGTCAGACCGCACAGCCGCCGGGGTAGGCGAAGGCTCAAAGCCAAGCGGGAGGAAGAGGTGAAATCGACCGTGACGTTTAACTGTCCTCAAATGCCTGCCTAATTTAAGGGTTTTTCTCGTTGAGCTCCCCATCCTCCCACTTCCCTTAGTGACCTCAATGCAAATACGAATGGGACCGTCGTGATGCACGCCAGGGGTTCTGGAAGCTTGGGCGTGACGCAATCCGGCCGAGGCACGGGCCCCCTCCGCCCATTGGCTGCCGGCGCTGGGGACCCCTCCCGACCCCGGCGGCGGCTGGAATAAGAGCAGCTGCTGGCCCTGAGAGGC